TTCTTTCCCTCCTTCCTATTATGCAATGCCAGGGAACCAGGTTGGCTGGGAAATATTTCATCCTGGGGCTTTATTTAAATCACATTAAATCTTCAGTAGGTTCTTGGAAACTTTGATTTTCACAAATTATGTATAATGAAACCATGTCCTTGAATAATGCTGTTTCCTTCAACTTAAGTCAAGACTGGTGTTTACTCATTAACTTTATAACAAAACAACATGAAGCAAAACATTATTCAAGGACCGGCTGTACTATCAAAAGACATGCCCATCAGGATCTCACATATGTCCTAAAGGGAACAATTTATAGGCAGCTCCTGTCCCCTGTTTTACTACTTAAACTGCAGCCTTCTACTTCTAACCCAAGAGAAGAAAAATGGTTAATATAAGTGAAATTTAAACCCAATAAAAATAGAAAATTTTAGGGTGAGAAAATCTTACCAAAATAATTCTCTATAAGTGATACTAAATTCTAACCAAGAAATGAATGGGTTTGGTATGATTTCAGAAATTTTACCTGGTATAGTGGAGTAGTTAGATGGCCATTAACAGTAACTGTCATTAATAACAATTACATTTATTGAGCATTCACATTTGCCAAGCTCTGTGCAACAAATAGATGTTACCTCACTTTAACTCAACCTGTTACCATATTTGACAGATGAGGATTCTGAAGCTTAAGCTATTAAGTACTTTACCCCCAAATTTAGCATAGATGTCACTCCCATACCTCCATCCTTATCCATTAGATACCATTCGATATTGAAAGTGACCCATGAGATTTTTAAAATATGTTTTGTCAAGATGGAGAATAAGTGAAGCATGTGCATATGGTGAGGTGTAAAGTTGTACTCCCCAAATTATATAGTTTTGTAAATGAAAGGTAAATCAATAAAATGATTTTAAAATATCATCAAAGTCTTAGCTATTGTAAATAGTACTGCAATAAACAAAGGAGTGGAGGTTTCCTTTTGAATTAATGTTTTTGTGTCCTTTGGGTAGATTCCTAAGAGTGGAATTGCTGGGTTATATAGTAGATCCATTTTTAGTAAATTGAGGGTCTTCCACACAGTATTCCTTAGTAGTTGGACCAGTTTGCATTCCCACTAGCAGTGTAAAAGGGTTCCTTTATCTCCACATCCTCACCAGCATTTGTTGTTGTGTTTTTTTAGAATGTGCCATTCTTGCCAGTGTGAGGTGGTTTATCACTGTGAGTATTGGGGCCTTAGTCCATTTTACAGCTTGGCTATTGTTAATACTGCAGTGAACATAGGAGTGCATATATATACCTTCAAGTTAGTGTTTTTGTATCTTCCAGGTAGATAACTAGGAGTGGAAATGATAGGTCATATGGTATATTTATTTTTAATATTTTAAGGAACCACCATACGGGTTTCCATAGGGGCTAGAGCATCCTACGCGATATTTCACAAAAAGAATTTCACACACAAAATTTTTTTAATTTAAATGTTAAAAAATTTAAACAAAATTTATTTTGTTCTCTAAGTGTTTACCCAACAAACTATTTTAAATTTAGGAAAATGAAATGAATGTTTACAAGGTATATATATGTACCTATAGTGACAGAAAATATAAAATACTTTCTGTAAATCTACTTGAATGTGTTTACATGGTAGATAATTGCATAAGCATAATAAAGAATTAGGGATTTTTTTCAGGGCATCAAGATTCCTTCATAGCTAAGAATATGTACAACCAGTAAAATAACTAAGATTTTCATCTTTTAAAAGATTTTGCTACACATGCTCATTCCTAACTTCTGTCACCTAAGTACACTGTTAGTTCAGACCAAAGGCAGAGTTTTCTGCAAAAAAAAATGATTATTGAAATTCTGAACTTTCTGGAATATTAATTTTCATTAAAAATTTAATACACATTTAGTCTGAGAACTAGTTTCTACATAAATTATCTCATATACATTTATTATGGAGTTGAAACCAAAAAAATAAGGTAATACCAGGTTTGGGAACAAATGCTTATACATACAAGTTACAAATAAAGTCATACCTTGAAAAAAATAAATTTCCCAAAACCTGCATTTTCCCAGTTGAAACAGTTTAAAAGCCATTTTTCTTCTCCTCAAGTACATTTAACATAAATTAGTCTTTCCACTTCCTCAGCTTTTAAAATGAATTTCTGTTATAAGGGCTTTAATAAATTTCAGTTAAAGTCAATAAGCTGATTTCTGAACATATTACCGTAGTCACAAATCTGTATTAGTCAACTGTTGATTAAAAATCATTCAGGCAGATTATAATTACTTTCTATCATGCATATTTTTTATAAACAGAGGTAATATACACTTCTCACAATCTTGAATATATTTCTAAGATGTGGAGAAGGACTTACAAAAAAAATGATTTGAAGTTTTGTTCAATTAGCAATACTACTTATTTTTTAAAATAATGTAATAGTTTATTTTTTACATCATTTTGTGCATTTTTTCATCACAGTTGTAATCCCCGTGGGCTTCCCATCACCAAATATACTACTAAATTTTTAAAAAATGTATCAAGGTAACATTGCTTTACTACACTGTATGTGATTTAAGGGAATAGGTTCACACCTCCCCACATGGATATCACTTTATCACAGCCACAATCAAAGCACACAGTCCTTTGCCCTTGACCACTGGCCTCCCTTCTCACTGAACAACAGTCTTTTTATATAGCTTCTAATTGCAGTGATATATTATCTCATGTCATTACATTCAAGGCAATAAAAAAAGCCTGACTATTCCTCTGGATTGTACTGTTACTATTTACCACATGCTCTACACTACTCAAGAGAATGGGCATATCATTGCCTGGTTATAACTAATTTATGCAACATCTAAACTACTTCATACTACGTAAATATCAAGTTTTGCATTTTTATAAGCTTAAAAACCATGTTTATTTGTTTTTTTAGATTTATTCATTTATGCATACAGAGCTGGGGTACAGGCCAGAGGTGCAGGCCAGAGGTGCAGACACAGAATAGGAAGCAGAATAGGCAGATCAACGAGGTACACTGCTGAGGGAAGCAGCGGGGAGACAGGAGAGATCTGCTGTGCCATGTGGGTCACTTCCAGGGCCAGGAATCGAACTTGCACTGAAGTGACCGTGGCCACATTGCAGTGCTGCATCCTAACCTGTTGTGCCACCAGGGAAGGCCCTATGGTGCTTATTTTTATTAGAAATAATAAACAATGGGGCCCTCCCTGGTGGTGCAGCAGGTTAAAGCACAGCACTAAGAAGCTAAAGCCACTTCAGCATGAGTTCGATCCCCGCCTGCCCTGGAGGTGATCCCACATGGCGGGGCAGACTTCTCAGATCTACCCGCTGCTCCCCTCAGCAGTGTACTTTGTCATTCGGCCTGTTTTGCTCCCCACTCTGTCTCTGGTGAATCCTCTCATGGCCCCTGCACCTCTGGCCCGCACCCCAGTTCTGTATGTATAAATAAATAAATCTTTAAAAAAAAGTAGCTTTGAACCACAATGTTACCTATTTAGTGCTGCCCTGATATGCTTATTATGCATATAATAAATAAAACAGAGCCCTGCTGCATCAGATTACCAGTTGCATCATACATTGCTAACGCACAAATCATTGTTTTGTTTTTCAGTTTCCTAACCAATCCAATCTAATAATTGTCTCAAGTCTTTATTGTATAGGATGGAAATAGTGTAGTGGAGAAATGTTAATTCCCTATTACAATACTTGGTGGGGAGTAGGCATAAATATTTGCAGAAGGAAAGGGATTATTGAATAATTGCATCTTCCTTGCAAGATATCATCAGACACTATGAGAGAGTGACATAATAGATGCTTATAAATACAAAGAGGCAAAAATAATGCTGCTGATAATCTATAGACATTATGTAATAGAATCCTTAGTGAAAGTAACTTTTGTGTTTGTTTTTTTTTAAAAATAAGTTATAATCATGAAGGATATCAGATGGTTTTACTCATCTGGGGACTATAACGAACAAACAAAATACACAGACAAGGCACAGCAAGAATAAATCTTAGATTTAGTGAAAGAATGTAAAGGTTATCAGAGGAACAGGGTAGGGGGGAGAGGGGGGCAAAGAGGGTATTGGCAAAGGTGTTTTGGTGGAAGGTAAAAGTGAACATGTGGAAAAGCAAAAGTGTAACCCCAAAATTAAAAAAATATTTTAATTGAATTAATGAAAATTTTAGGAATATGATCCAAAATATTTTCTAAGAGAAAAACATCTAACAAAATAAATATGTTAACTTTTATGTTACAAGGGGAAAAGCTCTGAAAAATTCTTCCATATAAAAATTCAAATGAAAATGAATCAAGCAGTGTAAACACAGAATGAACACTGGCATTTTGAAAATTAGTAACCTACTACATATTGCTTCTTAGAACACTCAGCAGCATAGGGGATATTAAAATGTAATAAAAGAAAGAGCAGCTTTTTAAAAATCAGGTTTTCTAAAGTGAAAATTTGTGGAACTATTCTGAGCCACAAAGCTCCATAAGAAAAAATGTGACAGAGCTGCTTAACATAATACAAGCAATTTTTTAAAAGTGCAATGTTA